AAAATGATTAAAAATAAATATTTAAATAGGCCGCTTCTACTAAAATTTAGTTAAAACCAATTTAAAATACCCCTAGGCCAGTCCTGCCTGCTGAAACAACCAAGTCTTGAGGGCGCGGCGGAAGGAGGGGAGATCCGGAATCACCCGGATCTCTGGGGGCAGCTCGTTCCAGAGGGTGGGTGCTCCGACAGAGAAGGCCAGCCGACACTGTCTGGTTGACGGCACCCTGAGGAGGGCCTCTCTTTGGGAGCGTATCGGCCGGTGGAAGAGAAAGGCAGAAGCCGGGCCTGCTGTGGTCACCAAGTGAGCTCCTGTGGCTTCGAGATCAACCAACAAAACAGTTCCAAATGGGCCTTCCTTCTCAAGGGTTTGGCCCAAACTGGATCCCTTCGCCAGAATCAGAAACCTAAGTCAACTGTCCCCAAACTGGGTCCCTCCAACTGCTTGGGACTACATTTCCCAGAATTCCTTTGAACTGGAACATCTCGCAGCTATGATCCTAAGCATTGCCAGGGATCAGGTGGAAGAAAGCTGGCCTGCGAGTGATCATTCATACAACGGATGGGAATCCTGCAGGATGTAGACTCAGTGCTCAAGGATGCTTTTTGAAAGCGCCCACCCAAGGACAGAGAAACAGAAGTTTCCATGGCGCTACTTGACCCAACGATTGTCGCCCAACACATCTGCACCCTCAGATTTTCTGCATCCTTCGCAAAGGTTGTTTCTTGATTCTGTTGTCTTTTTTAAACCTCTAACAATGTTGAATGCTGGGGACAGACTGAAGGCAGTATTAAATATTTATTGCAAAGGGAAAATGTGGGCTGCTTTTTTTTCATGGCGGAAAAAAAAAAACTCGGTTAAGAGTGGGAAAGGGAGGTGCTGGCTTCCACTGAAGATGTTGCTGGATGCCAAGGGCAGCTAAGAGATTCCCACGTCCAGGTTGAGAGTCGTTTAGCAAGCACCCAGATGGGGAAGCAATTTTGCTGGCCTTTTGGCCGGCATCCTGAAGGATCTGCCCAGAGGCAGCCACTGTAAGAGGACAGCTGTGTTAGTCGGTGGGAGCAACAGATCAGAAGGAACACCTTTTCCAATGAAATAGCTTTATTAAAAGGCACCAGACATAGCTCGAGAACGCTTCTCCCTTTTAATAACACTTGCAAGTTGCAAAAGGTGCCACTGACCCCTTCTGAAGGAATGCAGCCCCTCAGATTCTGCATCCCTCAACAGAGAAGGAGGCAAGCATCTCTGCTTGTGGTCAAATCTTCACATTTCTGCATAAATCTCGCTCAACCGTTTTCAAAAGCCCATTTTCAAAACCCCAAAGGCATCTCTTATCAAAATTGTCTGAGGGCAGGGGGGAAACACCCCGCCCGCAGCCAACGCCATAGATAATAAAAATAAAATAATTAGCCCGCTAACGATTTCCTCCAGAGCCACACCATCGAAAGATTCGCCTACAGTTGCATAAGCTGCTCCGGTCAAGTTTTTTTTTGGCATGGTGGGGAAAAGAAATGCCACGGCAACATTCCACGCCAGGCCATTCAAAACCATCCCTACAGCCCAAGTGGATTTATTGAGGCTAGGCAACACACACACACATAGGGACACACAGACAGAACCACACACGGAGGGATCCTCCATTAAAAAGGGTTTTAAAAAAAAAAAAAAGGAGCTGTACCAATCAGCAGCCTGCATCTCTCCCCCATAGAAACACAGGTTTGCATGGAGAGATGCTCAGCCTTTATGCAGCAATGCCAGAAGGAACCCCACAATTCCAGCCACCCCCACCCCCACTTCTGGCAGACTCAGCAGGGAGGGGAGGAACGAGGGTCTGTCTAGTGGGGAGGCTCTGAGGATCAAGATCTGCTCCCCCCCCCGTGCAAATTCTTCTGCACAAAAGCAGGGCTCCCACTCTCCCTGCCTTCCCCCTGCCCTCCGCACCTGCCCGCATCTCAGCTGAGACCCCCAGAGGCCTCCGATCTGCCCATCTGACCTGCCCACCGAGAGACCCCCGCGGTACCGCCTGCCACTCACCCCCAGTTTCCTGCTCTTCATCTTCACGTAGCCTTGCTTGACGATGTCGTTGAAATTGGTAGCCATGGCTCAGCTGCCGGCCTGCCAAGGGTTGCCTCTTCCACGCCTCTTTCTCCTCCGAGCTGGTTCCCTCCTCTAGGGCAACGTCTAGGGCAGCGCCAAGCTCGCCCTGCCCTCCGCTCTGCCCGTTCACCTGTTCTCAGACTTGAGCTGGCACGCTCCCTCGCCTGCCCTCCAGCATTGTTCTAGTCGGAAGGGGAAGCGGCTTCTTCTGCTCGGGTGCTGAAAAATAAAAATGACAGATAGATTAGAGAGGGTGACATCTTTCTCTGCTCATCTGCCCCCCCCCTCCACCCCTCCCTCTCTCCATCCCTTCCCTCCTCCCCCTCTTCCATCCCTCACCCCCCCCCCTCCTCCCGACTCAACCATTCAGGAGACTCGTAGGTGGCTGGTACTGTAAAAGGGTGAGGAGGAGGAATGGAACAGTCTGGCGTTTAACTCAGCAGACGCTTCAGCTCCGTAATTCATAAAGAGAAGCTCCCACGGCTAGACCCAAGAACAAAAGAGAAGAGACAGCTTGCTTTTTTTTTTTTAAAGAAGAAAAGTCTTTCACACCTACCATTCAAACCAGCTCCTTAAGTTGCCTTCCCTGTTCCTTACTCTACCTGAGCAGGATAACTTAGGACCTTCCCCTTGCAACCCAAAGCAGGAATTCAGAAGTGGGACCTCTGAAGACGCCCGTTCAAAGGAGCAAAGCTTTAGGCCACCTTATTCAATTCCCCAGCTCCTCAACGGACGGAGGAGAGCTTATATGCCGACTAATTTTACTCGGCTGGTTAATTAAACCCCAAGAGCCGGCATGCGCAGGAGCCCAAACGTACCACGAGTTTGCTCATGTTGACATCCCTGCCTAATTACCTGGTTTGGCCACTGCAGTTTGATTACACTGGACTTTTTTTTTAAAAAGACAGCATTAATCACAGTCGGTGCAAATAAAGAGAATGCAGTCTGTGCCGACAGATCAAATGTTAAAAGACAATTTTTTTTTTCTGCTGAATGCAGTAAAAATACTGCAGGGGAGGAAATATTTCCCCCCCCCCAGCATATTGGTACATGAAACAAACGAAAGCATGGATTTTTTTTTTATTGTGCCTGTCCTACAGACAGGCTTTCAGGGTGCTGGCTACCCAGTTAAGTCCATTTTCGCTCACTTGATGCTGCCCGCCACGTCCAGAGGGACTCACTTGTGCTGCTAAAGCTGCTTTTATCTCCCCTATAACAGGCTTGTTTTGCTAGCAGAAGATGATCATGTTCACCCACCCTGCGGCATTTAAAAACAAATAGCAAAAATGCACCATTTGCATGTAAAATGAGCACAGCTTGTTGTTGATCCCTCTTGGCCCTTTTTGCTTCATTCGGAGAAGATTCTCCAAAAAAGTTGTAGGTATCTCTATTCTTAGCGGCCAAAGTCAGGAGTGGGTGGGAGCTGGGTCATTCCTGCTGACCAAAATGTCTCCACCCCTTATTACAGGTAGTCTTCGACTTACGGCCACAACTGAGCCCCGAATTTATGTTGCTAAGTGAGAAATTGGTTCAGTGAGGTTTTGCCCCATTTCCTTGCCCCGTTTGTGAAGTGAATCACTGCAGATGTTAAATCAGTTGGGAAATGAATCGGGCTTCCCCATTTCTTCATTTGTCAGAAGATCGCAAAAGAGGATCACATAATCCCGGGACACTGCGACCGTCATAAATGTGAGTCAGTTGCCAAGCATCAGAATTTTGATCACGTGATCCCAGGAACGCTGCAAAGGTCGTAGGTGTGAAAAATGGCCGTAAGTCCATTTTTTCAGGGGCGTTGTAACTTCGGACGGTCACTAAACAAGCTGTTTTAAGTCAAGGACTGCCTGTACTGACTTTGCAGGGCTGTGGGACCGGGCTGGGTGGCAATGCCAGCCTCCCCACCGTCCCGCAACCCGTAATATTTCCCACACTCCAGCAGGGACTGCCTCTTTACTCACCAGCGTTTCCGCTCTTGTTATCTCCTTTTTTTTTTGCTACTAAAAATAAACCCCAGTTGTAGTTTGAAAGGAACGGAAGAAAAGCCTGGGCCCCGCCTGAGCCACAGCTGAGTCGGCAGCTAAGCCTGCCACCATAGCTGTCCCCGGGCAGGAAGCACCCGCCACCCCCTCGTCCCCACCTTGCTGTGTCTGCAGGCCCCTCCGAGCGCCACGCTGAAGCCACTGATGTCAGCTAAAGCATTGCAAAAGGGAGCCCTTGCGCAAGGCATCCCATAATGGCTCCTTTGCATTGCTAAGCTCTGGGATGCCAACGCTGCCTGTCTGAATGCTACTGCTGACTCTCGGCTGGCCTCGTCCTGAATGCTGGCTAGTGGGTGGACCTGGGAAATTAAATGTTTTCCTCCCGCAACTGTTCTTTGCATAACAGCATTCCTTCCTTCCTTCCTTCCTTCCTTCCTTCCTTCCTTCCTTCCTTCCTTCCTTCCTTCCATCCATCCATCCATCCATCCATCCATCCATGAAAGAGAATCTGTTGCAAACGAAGGCAACTCTTTGTGTCCCAGGATAACGTTGCAGGATCCAATCTGGGCCAGTCCCCGGGACCAGAGGTTTAGTCTTCCAAGCTTTTGGACTTGTGCTGGAGCCCATCCCAGAGAACGTCTCTTTGCCAGCATGTGTGCTTTGCTATGCTGTGCATAAAATAAAATCCAAAAGCCTGGAAGACTTAAACCTCTGGTCCCAGTGACCGACCCAGACCGGATCCTGCAGAATCTGTTACATCCAGGGCTGGCTGTTCTGCGCTGGCTTGCATTGGGTCAATCTTGACGTTTCCAGAATCCTGGAAGAGACTGGACAGCCATTTGTCTGAAATGGTATAGGGTTTCCTGCCTGAGCAGGGGGTTGGACTAGATGACCTCCAAGGTCCCTTCCAACTTTACTACTACTACTACTACTACTACTGTTGTTGTTGTTGTTGTTATTATTATTATTATTATTATTAACATCCTTCAGCAAAGCAGGACGCAAAGAAAAGCAGAGGGCAAGCAAGGAGGGCTGTGTGGACACTGAAATCGGGATCCCTAAGTGGAAAGTGATGCAAATTATGAAACGACGACGATTATTCAACGGCGAAGAGCTTTCACAGCAACCCCGCTCTCGAAGGGAACGCTGCGCTCCTACCCCGCCCAGACAATTTCTTCACTTCACCCCTGAGAACGCTCCCGAACAGTGTCAACATCTTTTTATTCACACAGAGCTTCCTTACCCTGGGAAGGCACACCAAAATGTGAGAAAGACTTGCAACATCGCCTGGCAATTCTTCACACCTCGCACTCACACAAACGCTCAGCACGGCATCATCCCTCCACACTTAGCGCTTACAAATATGTAGAATAAAGTAGGAAGCCGTGCCCGGGAATCTACAATGTCAAGAGGAAAGAGGCGAGTCTCCACGAGAAGGGGGTCTACGACAATTCTCCAACTCTCCACGGCCAACACGCCGGAGGACAAGATGCGCACTAATATCAAAGAAACGGTGGGATAGAATCACTAAAGAGAGGAGGAAAAAGGAGGGACGGAATGAAATGGGAAGGACAAAAAGTAAAAGAATATTTAAAACGTATTGTAAAGAATTAAACGGAGTGGTTAAATTGTCCCACGGTGAGTTAGTTAGTCATGGTGAATTGTCACGTAGTTAGTTGGCCGTGGTGAGTCGGCCACGATGAGTTGTCGCATTCGGACAATAACGGTCCAAGAGGCTGGAATGGCCTCCCTTTACCATGAAACAACTAGTATACATCTGTGTAGAAAAAGATCAGACGATTCTCCGTGTTCGTGATTTGCAGCAAAGGACTCTGTGTGCTGAATAACAAATAAATTGTTGGATTGGTTGCAAGCATGTGACTTTGGGTCACATGAGCCTGGGGATGCTGCAATGGTCATAAGTATGAAAACCAGCCGTAAGTCACTTTTTTCAGTGCTGCTGTAACTTTGAACAGTCCCTAAACGAACGCTTGTAACTCGAGGACTACTTGTAGTCTGCTTTTGATTCCACACCCAAAGACTGGATCCACTGGGGGATTTCGCTTGATGCCAAAACCTTTCTGGAACTCAGTGCCCACCATCCCTAGTCAGGGAAGGGATGCCAAACGCAGCCCTTCAAGCCCTAATCCTCTCTTTCAAGACTGCTAGAAGAAAAATAAGAAAATCTCTCAGAAAAAGCAAATTTGCAGGCTAAATGGGGAAGGAATGAAGGCAGGCTGGTCTCATACGGATAGCAATTTAACAGGCCTTTTGGTGTTCCAGACAGTCGCACAAGGAGATCACACACATATTTGACAAGTGTGATAGCATTAAATGGTCCAGGGGGTTCCCAGTGACCCTGATTGGCTGGCAAAACTGACTGGCAAAACCAGTTTTTCTACCTAGGAAAGTAGGAATCTGCACAGAAGCTTCTGTATCGCCTGCAATCCAACTGCTATTCACTTGCTTTCTCTCCAATTCAAAAAAAAAAAGATGCAGTTAACTTGACGAAACCACTAAATCAGAGAATCACTGGAGCAGCCATCATTTTTAGAACATTTAATCTAACCTCCCATCCATGCAGAAGTCTCCTTCTACAGAGATTGCTATCTGCACAGAACACAGTTTTTAAACAGACTCCAAATCGTGGAGAACCATCAGTCCACTAATTCTCCATTGATCAGATCCCACCATGGGTACCCACTTAAGAGCTCCACGTTGTCATCAGAATTTAGGCAATTTAAAACGAGGAATGAAGATGACCAGGGATGAAAACCAAAGCCTTACGTGGAGAAACTGATCTGGGTATGGTGAAAAGACAACGGGAGCATTCGTAGCTCTTCTGAGCTTTTCGAGGTTAAGATCTGTTTTCTATTGTCCCAAAATTCAGGAGATGGAAAAATGGATTTAAGCTACAGGAACTGAATCTTAAGAAAAACATCCTCACAGGAAGAGCAGCTCCTTAGTGAAACCAGGAAGATGCGGCCTCTTTCTTCTTTCCTGTTGAAGCAGAGACTAAACAGCCAT